TTCCTGTTGTCTCTCCGGCGAGCAGATCCACAGCAGTGGCCGAGCGAATCTCCGATCTGCGAGCCCAACTGGTTTGGACGCCAGATTTGATGCGGGCCAAGCTGTTTTGGTAAGGGTTAGCAAGTGTAAGTAGTAAGTAAGGGGTGATTATTGAATCCTAGCCGCCCATGGCAGACACACACAGAATGAAACACAAGGTGGTGGAAGAACCTGAAAATGTTGATCTGAGAACGAAGGAGAAGGCAAAAGAATTCGTAGCACTCCTCCCAGACGACATCAAACACCTCACGTCTCTACACGACATTGAAGAGGCGATAGGGAGAAAGGAAGAGGTGCCCATCGAATATATACTCCTCCTGTTTGGACAAAGCAACACCATTTTTATAAAATCATCGTCATATTTTTTCCAAGCAGCTACAGGTACGTATCAGTTGCAAATATAGTAAAAACATTTAGTAAAATTAGTAAAATAACAAGTAGTACATTTTTTTTTAAGAAGATTCAATTTTAAAATGATAATTTGTGCTTGTGCTGTTGCTGTAGAAATTCCAAAGCTAAAGATAGAATGCAACTGGATTACCTGAACAGATTAAAGAGATTCCAGCTGGGTGATTCTAATTTACCATCACATTTACTCTCAATTTCAAAAATTTATAACATAAATTCACTATTTAACTTTTACATTTACTGCCCAACGCAATTCGTGATTTCACAGTTGGCTCTGACAAATGTTTGGACAATCGGACCCTGGATTATTTTTGTCTCTTAAAAGGGGGTGAAGGACTTTCCTACCAAGATTTGGTTCACAAAATACGTAAGGATTTTTAAAATTCTCAAATTTACTTCCCATGTATTAAAAATTCTCAATTGAGTCCCGACCCTTTCTGGTAAACAAATGCTCACATTTTTAGCCTTTAAAAATTTGCAGTATGTTTTAGAAATCAATTGAAGAAGTGGGAAGATGAATATATTGGCATATTGCAAGGGAAATTCTCAAACAATGAAAACGATGTGTTACAAGAGATAGGTAATTTTTGTCGGTCTCACCATTTTATGATTATGATGTAAATTTTGGTTAATTAGTTAATATATAATTTTAAATTTGCAGTACGTTCAAGAAGAGAGTTGGAGAATGCAGAAAAAGTATATTTAATCACACGAATGAGAAGCTTTCACTACAAATCATCAATTGAAGTGGATGATATATCTTTCACCGATGAAAACTTATTGAAAAAGATGTGTGAGTTAAAGTGAAAATTTCAGTTAATAGTTTATCTAAGACTCGTTTAATATCTTAAGTAAGTTAGGCTATGTAATTTATAGCTTATCCAAAATTTAAACAATATTTCAAATGTTTTAGATAAATTTAGAAACTAAAAAACTAGTTTTTTAAAAGAGTACGTACGTTTTAAATCTTGTCTTCAAAATAAATGTAACTTCTTAGTTGGAGATAATGTCTATTATCTAGCTCAAGCTCAGCTCTCAGTATCCTCACATTATAGGCATGATTAGTAATCAGTACTCATTTACAGTAAGTTTGAAAAGGGAATTAACGAAATTGGAAGGTGAATATGTTGCGTTATTGGAAGCTGAGGCAACATATTCCTATCATGCGCTTTCAACATACTCTAAACACGTACTTCAAAGTGCAGGTAATTTAATTTTGATTCATAGCAATTTTTTTTTTAATCAGATTAATTCATAGCAAATTTAAGGCATGGTATACCACCTGAATTAAATATTTATTTATTAAATATTGGTTTTAGTAAGTCGGAGAAGAGAACTTCTGGTACTGGAGGAAGAATGCTTTATGCCTCTAAAAGGGAGAATCTCAGTGTTTGATGTTGGATCAATGTCCTTTGGAAGACTACAGGAAGTAATAAGAATGATACGTAAGTTAATAGTAATTAAATTTTTTAAATTTGTTAAATACATATATTAATCCTTAATGTTTGACGATTTATGTTGGAAATGTTGATAAGCCCTTATTAAAATTCACTCTAAATCTCACCAACTTTGAAGAGAAGAAATTTGTTCTTTTATTAAACTCAAGAACATATCAGAGAAGAATATTGTTTTCTTTTCTTTCTTGATTGAAATGCTTCAATTTGCTTCTTTCTTGCTTGGTTACAAATGAGGGAAATGATCCATTTATATAACATCCAAGAGACACATCTAAAAGATACAAAATATATGGATACACATGTATACATACTATTCATGTATCTTAATACATTATCTTACATTAACCTAACAATTTATGTATCTAGGAATTCATGCATGTGTATAGAAATGAATCTAGCTTAAATTCTAACCTCCTCCCTTAAGCTAGATTTCCATAACTCCAAGCTTTTCCTTCATTTTCAAAAACAAGTCTGTCTTCATAACCTCCTCCCTTAAAATATGTCTTCATTTTGCAATGTTTGATGCATACTTCCCTATTTTTGATCAATTCTCTTATGAAATGATATTTGATCTTAAATGTTTACTCCTTCCATAAAAAACTAGATTGTTCAAAAGAGCAATTGATCAGATATTATCACAAAACATGCCGGTCCCTTTTTCTTGAGGACACTTCAATTCATGTAGCACCTTTCTCAGACAAAGTGCTTGACAACTGGCTGTGGATAAAGAGATGTATTCAGCTTCAATTGTGACAACGCTATAACATCCTGCTTCTTTGATGCTCATGAAACTGCTCCAGAACCAATACTAAACACATATCCAGAAGTACTTTTATAATCATCAATATTTCCTCCCCAATCACTATCACTATATCTAACAAGAACATTATCAATGTTCTCTTCTTATAGTGAATTCCATGATTAATAGTTCCATGAACATATCGAAGAACTCTTTTTCCAGCTTCCCAATGACTTCTCTTTGGTGATGCCATAAATCTACTCAATAAACTGACTGAGAACATAAGATCAGGTTTAGTTGTAGTTAAATACATTGAACTTCTAACGAGACTTCTATAGATAATGGCATCAAAATCTTCACTTTCATCATGCTTGCTCCATTTCAAACCTACTTCCATAGGAGTACTGGCAGGATAAGCATTCTCCATTCTGAACTTGATCAACAAATCTTTCGCATACTTTTGTATCATTTTGCTTTACTTCGATACCAAGAAAGTAATGAAGCAAGCCCATATCAGTCATCTCAAATTCTTTTTTCATGCTTTCTTTGAACTCTTCAAGCATCATTGTTGAAGTTCCCGAAAATATCAAATCTTCAAAGTATAAACAAATGATCAAGAAATTACCATTCTTGTCCTCTTTGGTGTAGAGAGCATGTTCATATGGACATTTTTTGAAATCATTCTTTAGGTAGAAACTATCAATACGACTGTACCAGGCTCTTGGTGCTTGCTTTATCCCGTATAATGATTTCTTCAATCGACATACCTTGTCTTCTTCGTCTCCATTCTTCACAAAATCAGGAGGTTGCTCGACATATATCTCTTCCTCCAAGTACCCATTTAGAAAAGCTGACTTGACATCCATTTGATGTACTTTCCAGTCATTTTGTGCTGCAAGAGCTAGAATCAATCGGAACAGTTTCCAAGCGAGTCACAGGTGCAAAAATTTCTTCATAATCCACATCATACTTTTGCTTGTACCCTTTAACGACAACTCTTGCCTTGTATTTCTCAACTTCACCATTTTGCTTCAGCTTCATCCGGTAGACCCATTTGACTCCAAGAACTTTTCTATTCTCCGGTAGGTTGACTAACTCCCATGTCTCATTTCTTCTTATTGCAACGATCTTTTGATCCGTTGCAACCTTCCATTTTTCATCTTGAATTGCCTCCTCAAAGTATATAGGATCAACATTTGCAAATAAAGCAAAATCAACATGTTCATCTTCAGGTATTCTTCTTGAAGCATTATAGATCTCTTGAATATTCCTCATCTTCCTTGGTGGAGTTGATTCATCACTTGTGGAAGGTAGAGATGAAGATGAAGCTACTGGTTGAGTCTCTTCAAGTTCCAAGTCTTGAGCATCTCCTTTGTCATTCATGTCAACAAGTAATGGATTATGGTTTCCATTTGTTGCATCCCATCTCCAAAATTCTGCTTCACTGAATTTTACATCTCGGCTAATAATTATTTTCTTGCTTATAGGATTGAATAATCTATAAGCCTTGGAGTTCTCACTGTACCAGACAAAAAATGCATTTTTCTGATTTATCATCGAGCTGACCTCTTTTCTCATTTGATACATGAGAATAAGTAATGCAGCCAAATACTCTTAGGCGACTAACATTTGGCTTTAATCTTCTTCATGCTTCTTGAGGAGTAAGGCCTAGAACACTTTTGGTTGAAGCACGATTCAAGAGATAAACAGCACATGTCACCGCATCTCCCCAAAATTCATTTGGAAGATTCATGGCCTTCAACATACTTCTTGCAAGCTCCATTATTGTTATGTTCTTTCTCTCTGCAACACTATTTTGTTGAGGAGTTCTTCGAACAGTCTTTTGATGCTTGATTCCATTTTCCTTCAAAAAATCTTCAAAAGCAATATATTCTCCTCCACGATCAGAACACAACATTTTCAATTTTAAGTTGCTTTCATTTTTCACCATTCCCTTGAATATTTTGAAATACTCGCAAGTAGAACTTTTTTCTTTTAACAGGTAAATCCATGTCTTCCGACTATAGTCATCAATAAATGTGAGAAAATAACGATTACCTCCAAGCGTAGTAGTTTGCATTGGTCCACATAAGTCTATATGGACTAGCTCGAGAGGTTTTGATGCTCTCCAAGAACTTCCTGTCAGAAATGGATTTCGATGATGCTTTCCCAAAATACATGCTTCAGAAAGTTGATCTTCTCTTTTAATATTTGGCATTCCTCTTTCCATATGTTGTTCCATGAAGAGTCTTTTACTTAAAGTCTCAAAACAAAAGAAACTTCTCATAGTACACTTTGATTAGAAACATTTTGTTGTGAGTCATATGTACCTTTGTTATGAGACTTCCATTATTGGCTCTGATCTCGCATATGCTATCTTTGAAGATAACATCATGCCCCTTCAATAGAAGCTGCCCAACAAACTTAAAAGATTGTGTTTGAGTCCTAGAACATAATACACATAAGTGATTCTTTTTGCTCAATTCTTTGTTTTCACGATAATATCTCATTTTCCATTGACTGTGAGCTTCTTGTTGTCACCAATCTTTACTTCATTTTGAAGAGATTCATCCACAAAGTTATGAAAATATCCTTTCTTCCTGTCATGTGGTTACTACAAACACTATCAAGATACCATATATCTTCAGTACTTGTTTATTAGATATTAAATGTGAGGAAAATAAGGCTTTGATCATCATTTTGTTGTTCGTGCATCAGAGTGGTCTCTGCCTAACTAGAATCGGTCTTTTTAGACCAACAGTCTGCTTGAAAGTGCCTGTAGTGTCCACAATTGAAGCATTGTATGTGAGAAAAGTCTCCACGACCTCCACCTCTACTTTTTCCTCTACTGGAACTTCTTCCCCTTCCTCTATTTGAAGAAGTTTGATTATCTCTTTTCTCTGTCTCAAAACTTTTGAAGTCATTGGACCTTCCAGTTCCTCGACCACTACGTCCACCTCTTCTGCCATTAAATCTCATTCTAGGAGAAGTTTGTATATGAAAAGCTTCTTTTGAAGGAGTAGAATCAAATCGCTTCAATCTTAGCTGATGAGATTGGAGAGATCCCATCAAGCTATTTATGGAGAGTGTTGACAAATCTTTGGACTCTTCAATTGCTACTACAATGTGCTCATATCTTCTGATCATGCTTATAAGGATCTTTTCTTCCACTCTTTGATCTTCAATTGCATCTCCATTTGATCTCAATTGATTAACAATAGAGAGAACACGATTGAAAAATTCTTCAACAGTTTCAGCTTCTTTCATTCTAATGGTATCAAATTCAGCTCGAAGTGCTTGCACTCTTACCATTTTTACCTTTTCCTCTCCTTCATACAAACTCTGCAATTCATCCCATGCTACTTTAGCAGTTGAGACTCCTGAAATTCTTTCAAAGATATTTTCATCTACAGTTTGGTAGATAAAAAATAACGCTTTTTTGTCTTTCTTTTTAGCATCTCTCAACTCGTTGAGTTGTTGTTGTGAAAGATCATCCTCACCTTCTGGCTCCAAATATCCTCTATCAACAATATCCCAAAGCTCTTGAGATCCATAAAGAACCTTCATTTGTTGACTCCACCGTCTATAATTCTTTCCATCAAAACGAGGAAGTTGAGGCTGCAACATGTTGTTGGATGACATCTTTTGAACTTGACTCTGATACCACTTTGTTGGAAACGTTGATAAGTCCTCACTAAAATTCACTCTAAATCTCACCAAAGTTAACTTTGAAGAGAAGAAATTTGTTATCTTATTAAACTCAAGAGCATACCAGAGAAGAATATTGTTATCTTTTCTTTCTTGATTGAAATGTTTCAATTTGCTTCGTTCTTGCTTGGTTACAAATGAGGAAATGATCCCTTTATATAACATCCAAGAGACGCATCTAAAAAACACAAAATATAAGGATACATGTATACATACGATTCATGTATCTTACACGAACCTAAGAATATCATGTATCTAGGAATTCATGCATGTGTATAGAAATGAATTTAGCTTAAATTCTAACCATTTGTTCCTTTTGCTTTAAAATTTTCATTTTAATCCTTCACGTTTTAACATTTTTTAACTATTCATGTTCGGTTAGTGATTATTAATTATGGCTTATGGAAATTAAAGTATACTATACTTACTTAGTGAGACCTAGCACATATTCAGAGGATAAATTAGGCTATGTAATTTATAATTTATCTACTAAAAAAAATTATAATTAATTTCTCCAAATTTTTTTATTTCAAAATTTTCGAAATTGCTTAATTATTTCTCTAAATTTCTTTCTAACTCACTATAATAGTATTATTATGATACATAAGTTGACTATCAACCACATATTTAATGTCAAAAGCACATAATTGAGAGATGTTGAAAACTTTTTTAACAATATGAATTAAATTGAAATAATACCCAAATATTAGGAATTAAAATATATCTATAATATTTGCAGTTTAACTATTTATGCACAATTTTGAGTGTTGCTTCTACAGAAAGAATGAAATTTTATCCTCCATTGAAAGAAGAACGAATGTACCCAAGCTTTATGCAAGACAACAACAACATTCACTACAAAATAGAATTTCTAGAAACGATGGGTAAGTAAATTTACAATACAACATTATTTTATTATGGAGTATGATTTTAAATTCAAATTAAGGTTTGATTAATTGTATTTAAGATTTGCAGTACGTTTGAGGGAGGACTTCTTAACGTTGGAAGACAAATATTTGTGCCTATTACAAGACCGATACATTAAGAATTGCAGCTACACGTCGTTGCTTAAGTTCAACCTAATTTATTCTGAATACCTTTGGGAATATCTACTGGAAATTATACGTAAGTGATACTACTTTTTCATAATAAAACAAAAATTAGAGAAATAAGACCTAATTAACCTCGAAGATCTCTTTAATCCAATTGAGATTTTTTTTAGTTGTGCTATCTTTATAGAGTGAATTTATAATTGCATATATGATCTCATATACAGTGAATTGGAGAAATTATTTGACATTATTAGAAGATTCGTATGGTTGCAAATTAGAGATGAATTACTCATGTATGGGAATTGATTCATCAACTCTTAAACATGGTTTACAAAATACAGGTAACTAATTTATAGCAAATTTATGATATTATTACTGTACAGATAATACGTACTTATAATAATCTGTGATTTGTTTTTTTTTTTTTTGTACATTTGATTTTAAGAGTTCAAGCAGATGGAAGAAGAATATCACAAACTTATACGAGAGTGGCGTTTAACAAGTCACAACAACATTTCATCAATTGATGTAGCTCAAATATATGAGAAGTATATTAAGCCAGAAGTGTTAGATAATATAGGTAAGTTTCTTTTTTTTTTTTGGTTTCGGGTACAACATGTGAGGGTGGGAGATCGAACTCACAACTTCTTGGAGATATATGTCAATTACTACTAACCTATACTCGCTTTTGCGACAATATAGGTAAGTTAAAATAATATATTTGGGTTGAGTAGTGGTATATTCATCCTTAAGATTTATATTATCTCCTCTTGTTGAAATGTAATCGAGTGCGGGTATTGATTAATTTATTAAGTATTCTACAGTTTTTTCAAAAAATGAAATCAACAAGATGGAAATGGATCGTTATACCGTACTAGAGAATCATGCTCGTCGACTAGATGAACATACACAGAGAGGCATCAAACACGACATAGATGATCAATTACACCATATAGGTAATATTAATTATATGAGAAAATTTATTGAATTATGATTTTATTTCAATTTCAATTTTATTTATTTATTATATATTCACAGCATTTTTCCGAAGACGTTTACGAGACATAGAAGACATATATTTTTATATGTTTCAGCACAAGAATGAATCAAAATATATACTTCATACAGCATGCACCTTCCTGGGTGAAAGGTAATTTTATTTGACACTACTACTATAGTAACTATTTAATTATTTGAAGTTATTTATTCAACAAAGCAATTAGAGTAGGGATGTTTTCCCAAAAATAAAAAAAAATAAAATAAAATTAGAGTAGAGATGTTCAAATATAAAGTAGTTTGCTTTAAGTACTTAGAATATTGTAATTATAATTAAATTTGAAAATATTTCAAACACAATAAAAAATTGAAGGAAAAAAAGGAATAAAAAAAAGTACCAAACCGCTCCTAAACTGGTGGGAGTGTGTGATCGACACTAAAAAAAATTTAGAATCAAACAAAACTAATTATTTGAGAAGAAACAGTAACTTGTATGTTCTTCAAAAAGCTACAAACTTAATGCACAAACTCTATCAAACTTTCTTTGTTGTTTAATTCTTCCACACATTATGTAGAAATATATATACATGTTTAATTTTCAACATGCCTCCCTACGAACTCTAAGTAAAGTTCTCACCTTATTAAACACATAAGCTAATTAAGTCATTCATATATAGACAAACCAACAAAAGATCTCCATTAATTAGTCTTAGTATAAATAGAATATTCTTGTGGACATCTTATTTGTCAACTATGCTATTCTATATCCTTGGAGGTTGTTTCAACCCTTACAAAACATTCTTTATATGTGTCTCGTAAACCTCTCATGTGACGAGACCCTTCACTTGAAGTAATATAGATGATGAAGGTGTGAGATGTTCTAGAGTGATCGACGATGGAGGTGGTGTTGGTCGAGAAGATATATCACCAACTATATCATCATTAGGAAAAAAAATAGCAACTTGGTCTTTTATTTCATTATTCAAATTTCATGCAGCTTCTTCATCAAAATATAACATCTCTACATACCATAATCTTTTCTGTAGTAGGAATTATAAAACTTGTTTCCTTTTGAGCTTGCATCTATCTAATAAAAATACGCTTATCACTTTCATCATCGTGCTTATTGTGCTTGATTTGGTACATGGGTATATAAGTGATACTCCTAAAATATTCTCATATAGATCGATGGTTTTCTTCTCATCCATGATTATTGAGGAAGTTTTATTCCACACACTTCTAATAAGAGAATGATTGGACTAGTCCATAACACATTCAAGAGCTTGTGCCAAAAACTTATTTGGCATCTTGTTACTCCTCAACGTGCTCTGAGCCATATTAAGTATATAATTATGCTATTTTTCTCGATAACGTCATTTTGTTGTGGTCCATGGAACTGTAATGGAGTGACGAATATTATTTTTTTGTTAAAAAAATATTTAAATTCTTTCAAAGTGAATTCTTCTCGTTTATTTCTCATCTCAAAGCTTTTATTAAATTACTAATTTCTTTTTCAACAAGTACTTTATGTTGCGGTTGTAAAAGTGTGCAAACAAAGTCCCACATTAGTTAGGGAAGAGAGTGACCCATAGTATATAAGGAAGAACAATTATCTCCATTGGTATAAAACATTTTGGATGAAACCAACAATAAAACCAGAGACGTTAAGTTTGATGAATGCAATATGAGTGATTACAACCTCGTCAGAGATAGCATGAGACAGACAACCATCAAACTGCTAAGGACATTGAGAAATGGGATCAAGTTATGAAGGAAGAAATTAATTGATTCATTAAACAGGAACAAGACTTGGAAGCTAGTTAGCAAGCCAAAAGGTAAAAGACTTGTATCTTGTAAATGGATCTACAAACTTAAACCTGGATTAACCAATGAGGATGAGATGAGGTTTAATGCTAGACTAGTAGTAAGGGATCGACACAAAAAGAAGGAGAAGATGGTGAGTTTTCAGACATACATCTATAAGGGTAATATTAGATTTGACTACCCACTTTGATATTTACCTTGAGTAAATTAATGGCAAAATTGTGTTTCTTCATGGTGACCTTGAAGAAGAAATATATATGAAACAACCACAAGGCTTTGAGATAAAATGTGAGGAAACCAAATTGTGTTTGTTGAAGAAAGTCCCCTTTATGGACTTGAACAAATCTCCTAAACAATGGTACAAGAGATTTGATAGGTGTGTACTGTCTAAGGGATTTAAAAGAAGTATATTTGATCATTGTGTAAAGAGGTAGGGCATGCAACTAAGCTCTATTTGCTACTTTATGTTGATGACATGCTTATAGCTTGCAGATATAAAGTAGAGATAGATAGGTTGAAGGTGAAGTTGGGCTTAGAATTGGAAATGAAACAATTGGGACAACAAAGAAGATACTGGACATTAAAATCTCAAAAGATCATAATGCTAAATGTTTATTTTTGTCTCAGAATGGATACATTTCAAAACTACAGAGTAGGTTTAATATGACTGATTCAAAATTAGTAAAAATTCCTTTGGCACAACACTTCAAATTATCTATGGAATAGTGTCAAGTTTTAAGCAAGAAAATAAATAAATGGATGACATTCCATATAATAGTGTTATTGAGAGCTTGATGTATACTATGGTTTGCACTCGACAAGATTTGGCTCATGGTATGAGTGTTGTGAGTAGATTCATGTGAAATCCAGATAAGGTTCACTAGACAACAGTGAAATGACTTCTTCGGTATCTAAAAGGAACTAACAGTACTAAAGATTACAGAGGAGTTTATGTCTTGGTAGAATATGTTGATGCAGACTATGTTGTAGATCCAAACAAATGGTGAAGCAAATTGAGGTATATTTTCACTTTATTTGGTAATATAATATGTTGGAAAACATCTTCACAACATGTAGTAGCATTGTCATCTACTGAGTCTGAATACATAGCTTTAGCTTATAGTGTTAGAAAAGCATTATGACTTAGGGGCTTAGTTGGTGAATTGGTTCAATTAGATAATCCTGTTATCTTATGGCGTGTGACTCACAAAGTACAATTCATTTGTCAAAGAACCATATTTATCATGAGAGAACGAAGCATATAGATGTCCGATGTCCGTTTACACTTTGTAAGAGAAGTATTTGTTGAGCTGTGGTATTTGAGAAGATTTCTACTGAAGATAATATTGCTGATGGATTTACTAAGACTTTGACATCCAAGAAATTTGAGAAAGACATGAACCTGCTTCAATTATAAGCAAGCTAAACAGTGACTTTTAAGATCAGAAAATAAGTGATGTTCATTCATTTGTTCTTGAACTAAAGGTGGAGGAGTTATTAGTTTGTGGAGTTCTCAGCCATGTGGAGATTTGTTCGACCGTTTGTTCAACATTGGGCCCATTTATTATGCTAAAAAATAGTGGGCTACTAAATATCAGATGTGAAGGTTTCTTTCTTGAAGCTCACACGTGCCCATGGCACAATTTCGTGGAAACAAAGAGTTCCTAGTTGAGGCAGTACACAAGCAACTTGGAGGGTTTTTTCTTCCTTTACTTTCGCAAGATTTTTCCCTTGGATATTTATCACTTTTTGTATTCATTTTATTAAAGGTGAGTGAGAGTGGTTGACTATTTTCAAAGGGAATTTGTTGCTATTGCAGAGACTACTATAAGGTTTGAGAGAATCCGATAAAGACTATTCTCGTTATCGAAGACTATATATATAGACAAATATACAAGCTAGGTTGACCTAATAGAGTAAAAGAACGATGAAGGATAAATTGATCCAAATTATTACAATAATATAAAGTATACTAATATAAATACTCCAATAGTTGTTACTCTCGATGATATGAATAGAATAGATGGATTTCAGGGTGGATGTAGATCATGTTGATCGAACCACTATAAATAATCAGTGTGTCGTTTATTCTCTTTACCGTATTTATTTCTCGATTTTATTGTTGGAACTTAACTCATTGGTATTCTACGTTTTTATTTAGCAGCTAAATAAATGAAGGACAGGAGGAGTTGTTAACATCTTCTAGTTCAATATTGTCCACAAATCTAGCAAATAGCAATTACGTACCATCGAAATAACTTGCCTTCATAATGTATTTTTACTCACTTGATTTCTTCAAATGATAAGGGGGATATCAGTCTAGTACTTATCTATGGAAAGAAATCTATAAAATGAAAAATTACACAAAATAATTTACACGTGTAGCTTTGAGATTTGCTAACAATGCTTATAGTATAACAAACCAATGTTTTGGAACCTCTTGGACATCTAGGTACGACGTCACTTGTATTATTCAAATATATATTTATTTGACATCATTTTTGACACTACATTTTTTTATTAGGAAAAGATATGGCTTTACCTTGCTCCTAATAAATATTTCCTTCTTAATTTTAGATATTATTTGTTTATCTCATGCAATCTTTCTCATTCTCACTCTACCAGATTCTGAATCATTTGAAAGTGCTGCAGAAGAACAAGAGTTTCTCACGATGTTATATAATTCAATCAAATCATTCAACTTTTATTGTTCCAAGTGCACGACTTGTGTTAACGTACTGATTCAAAATGCTTTGAAATTAGAAGATGATGAAATTTCACATGAAGATGAAGAAGTGCCAGAAAATTGTTATCAAGTTTTGCACAAGTTTCTTAGTTCACGTGGTCTCTGTTGTTCCAGTTGCAAGAGTTATATAAGGATGGTTACAATCCGACCTGCTAAAACACTTGAAAGAAGCTCCATTATCGCTCAGCTTGTACAAACTTCAACAGCATCCACTCCCAGCAACGGTATTGAAAATTGATATTCATGCGGTCCATCTCAAAATTACCAATTGCAAATGAAAGAAGGAGCTCATGTCTATTACAAATACTTGTTAGGTCCCTTGTCTTATCAAGGTGAGATCTTTAACATGTATCGTAGCTTATTGGACTCTAATACCATATTAATTAGGTGTGTAAATATGTCGGTTCGGGTCGGTTTTCCGCCAAAACCGATCCGACCCGAAAATGTTCGGTTTTCGTTCGGGTTGGGTACATTTGGGTCTGGTCGGTTTGCGGGTTTTTTTTTTTCCTTCTCTTCTCTTCTTCTTCTCAATCTAGGGTTTTACTGATCTTCAATCTCAGAAACAGAAGAATGAAAAAATGGTCTCAGAAGCAAACAAGAGAGAGAGAAAGATGAAAGCAAATTTTTTTTATGTATTATCAAACCCAACCTCCAAACCTTCAACGTCAAAACCCACCTTCAAAATCAAAAATCACCTTCAAATCTCCATCAAAACCCACCTTATTCAAAATACATCAAAACTCACCTTCTTTAAAATACATCAACCCACTTCAAAATCAGACCCACCTTCAAAATACATCAAAACTCACCTCCAACATAAAAAATAGAGAAATTCATCCAAACCCACCTTCAAAATCAAAAGAAGATATGAAATAAAATAAAAAAAAGGACCAAAGCATTTT